AAACAAATATACGCGATTTAAATCCGGAAAAATAGTTTCATTTCCTAACTGCAGTTTGTTACAATTTATAATATAAAAATCGAACATAAAGACAAATGTCTCCAATCCGCGAGCGCGGTCGATATGACGAGCTCTCTGGTTGGTGTACACCCGGATTGAAGGAATTTTTCTTTGTGTTCAATCTTTGAATTAATAATAATGAATAAGTTTTTAACATAGAATAATAACGCATAGAAACCTAATCCGCACACGCTAAGTGAGGCAAATTGAAGCGCGCCTAATGGGCCTACACGAGCGGGCGGGCCGTCAGTGCTCAAAGTCAACTTGCACCGCGAATAGATCAAGAATTTTACCTAAAAATGACGAAATGTGCGGTAAATGAGTGTAAAAATACATCAGACAAACATAAAATAGATACTAACATCACATTCCACAAGGAAGTAACGCGTTTCAACTCGTATTTTTATATAAATATTCACTAAAACCGAAAATTAACCTACTACTAAAACTAGCCTACATGAATTTGATTTTTGCCTCACTTGTGACAGTTCGTTTGATATGAAACTATCATTCTATGCGTTATTATTCTAAGGTTTTTAATCAATTTGACAATTTTAAGTGTAATATAATAATAAGTTTCACCAATGAAATAACCAATACTTTTATTTTTTTATTTGCATACAAGGTTACGTGTTGCAAAATCCTTAAATAACGGAACTGCAGCCTCATGAATACGATTGAGGCTTATGCAATTTGCATCATCATCATCATCATCCACAGCCTGATTTTACTCACTACTAGGTATAGGTCACCCGAAGTTTATGCCATCTACAACGGTCCTGTGCTAGCCGCATTCATTGATGCCCCATGCATATTTAAGTGCTGTTTTGAATAATTTTGGAGAAATGGTATTTCCTCATCTCACTGGATTTTCCAATCCATTGGATAAATCGCGAACTCGTAACTGCAGAGTGGCTGAACGGCAGAGCTCCCAGAGTACGTCTTCGTAGCGGGAATCGATGTGGCAGCAATGGCGAGCGTGGAATACGGCCCAATGTTCGACACTGTCGAAGGCCGTCTCGTTAACGACGAAGGCCATGACAAGGGGCTGGTTGAATTCGTGACACCTCTCTATCAGCTTGTTCACCGTGTAGATGATGTGGATGTAATTTGCGATATGGTTTAATCAGTGCCGATCAAGAAATAATAGATCGAATAGAGAAAAAATAAAAACGGATCCAAATCATTATGTCTATCTTTTTATATTCATTACCAAAAGTTTTCATTTCAGTTATTCATTACATCGCAGTAGCAGTAAAGCTCCTTGTGTCATTTAAGTTATTTCTGCCGCCAAGCAAAAATGTAAGCATTACTGTGTTCCAGTTTTGAAGGGTAACGGTGCTGATGAAGTTACAGATAAATGGAACTTATGTTCATTATTTCTTATTTTTAGTACTTTCTTATTGTTAGTACACAGTGCCACTCAGATCTTTACGATTTAAAGCTCGGAGTGGCGCTGGAACTGGCATGAGCAGGCGTATCGCTTACCACTAGGCGCATGTCTTGTTCAGCCCGTCACTTTGTACCATAAAAAAAATGTTATCGACGTAAACTAAAATCATTAATATGACATAAATATGTAATTCTCGCTGTTATTAGTTATGAGTAATGGACGTACGGAATGATATAGCAATGACGCTGGGTATACAATATATTTCGGTACAAGACCGATAGAAATGGCGTACTTTGGTGTCGGAGGTCAAGATCTTCTTCGGGTCGTTGAGCCTGCGAAGTAAGTAACTAAGGCTCTGGACTAAGTTGAAATGTTACAGTAAATTGCTAATTCCCCTAAAACCATACAAAATATCATTCCCCAAAGTAGTAACCAAATAAATCAGCAATAAAATTATTGACGTTATCCAATGTTGAAGGAGACTCCACTGTTTTCACTTCCACCTTCGGCTCTCTATATGTCAGAATACTTTTTATATGCGGAGCAGAGTCATCGTATTTCACAATAATATCTTCCGAGTCGTTTTCAGATCTGTATTCATTCCACCATTTGTCAAAACGTGCGTACACGCGTCTTTGATTCCTAGCTGACTCGTCATTAAGCAAAGCACAGAATGAACACAGTGTATCGTCGTCAGTACCATGGACTTGATGGTAACTATAATATCGATGCCATTTGAAATAATCGTAGTATTTTTGTTTATCTCGAATCGCTTCGTTCATCATGGCTGCTACTTCGTCTTCAGACATAGTATTGCTATTTAAATAAATTCCGTTAGGTAAGAACCTAAAACAAGTAACTAATATAGACATAAAAATGGAACAAATATAAAGAAAAATTACTTTGACCCTATTGGACTCGAACCAGAGACAGTTGCCTCAACGTGTTATTTCATAAGTAGTCACAGATTGTGCTCCGGCAAAAAACACTTTTTTATCCGTAAGCAGACGAAAACATTCGTAAAATCTGCAGACTCGATTCATATCTCTGCCAACAGAGCGGTGGTCACGCAAAGGCAACGTTGAATTGAATTGAACGATAATAAAGACATCATCATGTTCAATATAAATATATATATTTTGGTAAACTAATCGCTCTTTACGATAATGCTTATATAATAGAGAAATGTGGTGCACGAAAGGAGCCTTACTATCCCGTACATGTGGCGCATCCTGGACAACAATCTCTGAATACTCTATGTCAATTGGCTAATACTTTCACCAAGATGGCAAGCATTACAGTGTTTGCATCGACATGATAAGAAGAAGAAGGAATAATATTGAGATAAAAAATATTGCGTTCTAAAGCTACCTTTTCATGTAAATTTAGTAGAACAAACTACTCCAAAAATGGTTTCTTTAAACGCTCTTTGGATGTCTATAATAAACACCTAAATAATATAGATATCTTGGGTTATACACCTTACATAGTTTTCAGAAGAAAGTAAGAGAAGTAATTTTAAAATTTTTAAATCCAATTTGCGTGTAACAGTGAATTGTGCCTAATTTTCGGGATGATAATGTTACTTTATTATCTAGTTTATTATGTCGTTGTATTTGAATGTAGTTGAACCGTAACTAACTTTCTTGGTAAATTCTGGTTTATGATTGTGGAACTCCAGGTCTGTTTGTTCTAATCGATGTTTTTGTATCATTTACCTGTTTTATAACTGTCTGTTTCCCTTGAATAATAAAAAAAAATCCGATCCGAGATCCGAAAAAGAATCCGAATATATTTCCGATCACTTTTATAAGTCTAACAACAATGTACCTTACATACAATAATTTATAAACGCTTCGGCAATTTTCGGGGCTTCCGAGATTTTCTGATGTTTTTATTCGTAGTAGTAGAGCTCCTTGTGAGAGAATTCGTCCACAGAAGTATTGCCAACTTACCTATTTCTGCCTCCAAGGAGTAATTTGAGCATTATTGCGTTCCGGTGTTGAAGGGAAAGGGTACAAGTGAAATTACACGTTCGTGGACACTTATGTCTGAGGGTGACGGGTGCAGTGGCGGTACCCCTCAGATCTGTACGGTTTAAAGTTCTGAATGACACTGCAACTATTATGGACAAACGTGTCGCTTACCACCAGGCGCACTATTTGTTCGTTCGTCACTTGGTACTTTAAAAAAAATCATTAAACATCGCGAAAACTCAGAAATGCAACGTACCTTGAATAATTTGCCCCTCCTAAAACAATTGGAACTGTATAATGTTCTAAAGGCGATAACAATTTTTCTGTAACATAGTCTTCATTGTATGAGTTCTCAAATGCTAAATAAAAATAATAAGTTTTTTGCACCATCTTCAAGCAGGCTTCAAAGATGCCTTTTGCACAAAATTTATTTCCACATTGTCCATAAATGTCAAGACTCAAATTGTATTTATTTAAAGCCCGATTTAGTCCATGACCGTAAACTAAGCGTTTTGTATTTGCATCGCAATTTGTCACGAACCACGCTGCAGCAATTGTTTTATTCCTGAACTTTTCTATTATAGACTTCTTTGTAGGTCTCATTGTGGTTACATTTCTCCAGTGTGCATTTTTCTTAGGCCCAACTATTTCACCATGTGTATTTCTTACGACAAAGTAGGGATGAACTATATCGGAGTCCAGTTTGTACGTCCAGGTGTAGTTGAAAAACCAGTTCCACTGTTCGCCATATGGGAAATTCGTCGGAGATTCCACAGAAACAAATACATAGATTTGGTTATCAGATCGGGCTAAAGGCAAATCGTCTTTATTTATCCCCTTTACAGTGAATAGAATGGCGTCGTAATCCGTCACGTCCGGAAAGTATTCTCTGTCTTTGACAACGTAACAGTTTTGAAACTTACAATTCAGTAAATTCAATGATTTCCGTTTAGGCGCCCAAAATCTGAAGGGATCCGTTTCTTGACCTGTCCACAAAAGCATGTATATCAAGTTAGGTTTCTTATCGTGCGATTTAACGTAATATGACTTTATAATGACCACAATTGTCATAATTTTTAGGCAATTGATTTTTACCTTTTTATTAAACATGTTCTTATTCAAATAAATTGCAATTTTACAATGCTTTTATATTGGGCACATTAAATGGTTTTAAATATCAATGAGATATACATAATGGATACGGATTATTTCAACAAGAAACAATTGGAATTCCCAAACACCAACGCGGTTATTTTGGATGATAATATATACCTTCGATTACATACCTTATTGTACAAAATTATTTGGCCACAGGTTTCTAATCTTTTAAATGAATTAAGCACTTTGAATTGAATTTAGAGGCAGTACTAATATCAATTGAATAAAATGGCGAGTCTTAAATATTTGCTTACAATATTTGTTCCTAGTTGTTTATAGTTTAAATATTTATTCAGTGTAGGTCACCTGACGGAGGACCATGAGGTCAAAAGTAATTTGAGCGGATCGCTTCAAGCGAATCCTTGGAATATCCACAACACAGAAGTGGAACCGCCACCTACGTCTAGTCCCCCGACTATGGAAAGGGGAAAGTTAAATTAAATCATGTATTTCCTTCGCACACTATTGTTTGCCTTTTGAAGTCTTGGGATTATTCAGACTTCTCACGTTAAAACTTACAAAATATTTATTTATATTTCATTTATTTATTTATAGTCTTATATTATACTTTCATTTTACTATATATTTAAATTTTCCATACTCATTTGCCTTACTCTCTCACACACGTATCTTATAAAGAGTGATTGTTTAGGAGATGGAAAAACTTTCTATTTATTTTAAATTTATTATGAAGGGCATTGACTTACAATTATATGGACGTCGGGTCCGCGCTAAAAAGTGTCCGAACTTATAGGGCGTTAAAATCGTATACAGAGCGTCATTCACGCTTTAGTCTTCGTTTGTTCGACTGACAGCGAAGCAAGCAAAATTAGACAGTATTGCGATGACATTACAATTTAAATTCATTCGTTTTAGCTTTTTCATATTCCTTTACATGTCACTACGTTTAAATAGATTGACTTGGGACATTTTTTTCGTGGTTTGTATATTGGACCCGTCATCCATTTATTTGTAAGTCAATGATGAAGGGTATTAATTTGGATACATTACTTTAAGAATAGGTCAAAGCCAGTGTGTGAATATGAAGGAAATGTGCTATGAAATCAGCGTGCAAAATTTATAATACAATGCACTTTTTGCATTTCAGTTACTTTATGCTTTGAGATACGAGATCGAGAAAGTAAGGCGACGATATGCTGTGCATGCATCAGATTAAATTTGAAAACCTTGTAACTCCGTTTTTGGAGGAAATGCCTTTTTTACTCTTCAAGCACAATGAGAAAAAGATTAAAATATAATTTGTAGATCTTATTTTAGTTATAAACTAAAGGTGATCATAGACTGACGTATAGTTATTTCTAGTAATTCTGTTTTTTGTACCTACTCAACAGTTCACATTAACGGAGCTTACGAGGTTTACGAATTTAGCTTACAATTTTATTGTAGTACAGCAAAATTCCGATTTCTAGACGTCAGAGAGCAATTGTCTACAGTTTCTTTTAAAAGTATGTAATAATTGATTGATGATTATTAACCAACACATGAAGAGAT